AGGCCAGAGGTATGGGAGTTGAGAGGATTCACCAGAGACAGAGTGGGGAGCAGAACAGGTAGGTAGCTGAGGGGGCAGCGGGCGGGTCAAGAGAGGTCTGCCACACCATATGGGTCAGCTCTCTGACCGGGGTTTGAACGTGTGTCACAGTGGCTGCAGAGAGCTCCATAGTGCTGCGCTTTAACCTGTTATGATAACGGGGAGGCCGTGAAGTGACTTTTAAAGAGTACGAGTCAGACAAGGAGTGGAAGGCTTTCCAGATAGAGTGAAAATAAAAGGCTGACATATGAAAGTTCTGTTACATTAAAGGGAACACCAAGCAAAAGGCAACGTGTACTTGGGGCAAATGATGGGAGACAAGGTTGGTGAGGAAGGGAGAAGGAAGAGACAAGGGCTTCGCACACCCTGCTCTGGAATCCTCGCTCGCTCCTGGAAGTGAATGGGTGCCACGGGAAACCTTAAACTCAAAGGGACAGTCTGGGTTTGCTTTTGCTCCTTCATGGCTCCTCAGGACAACTCTGTGACGCTCAGTGGGTAAGAAAAATGAGGATTAGAAAAACTGAAATCCTATTTATGAGACCACAGAACTAAAAAAAAATGGTAGCACTGGAACTCCAATGCAGAGAGTCCCCCGGGGGGCTGCTGGTATGGATAGGAAGGAATGTGCTGGAAGACTGGGGGGCTCTGGTCCTGATGTGAACTATTTGGGGCTCCTCTCTCTCACTCAAATGGAGGAATGAGTCCACTCTTATTTGCTTGAAAAGCCAAGCAAACAAAAGCAGCGTCAACTTTCAGCTCATGAAGTGAAAATAGTCCTGGAGGACTAACAGTCCTTGGGAGGCCTTTGTTTAAGTTTCCTTGAGCCCAAGCAACCAAGGACATCTTGATTCTGGCAGGAGCTGAAGTAGCCCAGGATGCTGGTCTCCCTTATGTTTCTCATTTGCTCTGTCAGAGATCTTGCCTACAGAGGCTCTCTTCTGGAGAAGTCAACATTACTAATAAGTTGGTTATTTTTTTAAAGATTTATTTATGTCTGCATACAGAACTGGGTACAGGCCAGAGGTGAAGGGGTGGTGAAAGGATTCACCAGAGACAGAGTGGGGAGCAAAACAGGCAGATAAAAGAAGCACACTGCTGAGGGGAGCAGCAGGCGGATCAGGAGAGGTCTGCCTTGCCACGTGGATCACCTCCGGGCTGGGGATTGAACTTGCACTGAAGCAGCTGCTAAGCTTGCTGTGTTCTAACCCATTCCACCACTAAGGAGGGCCCACTAATAAGTTTTAGTTTGTTTCCTCTGGAGGTAGTAACTGTAGGTGGGTGACAACAGCAGGTCTGAGATTAAATCCTGGGCAAAGGTAGCTCCACAGTTCTCTAGAGCAAAGTGAATCTTCTCCTTTAGGAAAACCCTTGCCTTTGCTGATGTGAGGGCAGGATTAAGGATGCCCTCAGTATGAGGCCAGGTCACTGTCTCTTTATAGGAGGCAGTTAAAAGATTTCTGCAGAGGGTTCCTCCCTGGTGGCACAACAGGCACGAACTCAATCCCCAGCCCCAGAGGTGATCCAGATGGCGCAGCAGACCTCTCCTGACCCACCCGCTGCTCCCCTCAGCAGTGTACTTCATCGATCTGCCTGTTCTGCTCCCCACTCTGTCTCTGGTGAATCCTGTCACCCCCTGCATATCTGGCCTGTATCCCAGATCTGTATGCAGACATAAATACACCTTTAAAAAAAAAAAGTGTCTTCAGAGATTCAAGGTGATACTCAAAATTTGTAAGAGTCAATTAAGACCTGGATAGCGACTAACTAGAATAGATAACTGGCCCTTAGCGAACCTGGTTGGCTGCTATATTGTCTGAGTCTCAGTTTGATTAACACCCAACAGGGAGGCTACACTCTCTGCCGAAGCACTTATCCTTGACGCCTATAGCCTTGTGTCTACATGGAAGCCTGAGGTCACTTTCTCTTGAGGAAACTGGTTTGGGATGCTGTGTATTTTTGCTGATAACTGCTTCTTGGGAGCACAGCACAGCAAAGGGCCTCTTGGCTGCAGTAGTGCTTCCTGGTGTCCAACCAAAATACCTGCCACATTAGTGGAGGAAACAGTGCCCCATTCATTTAGGGGTCTTCCCTTCAAGACCTCTGTCTAGAACAAAGAGAACGTGCATCTTTTTATTTATTTATTTTTGCCTTAGAAGAAAAATAAGACAAGTGTCATTCCCATCTTTATTAAAAAGTGGAAGATGAAACATGGTATGTCTTGGTTCTCTTTCAACTCACTCTTTCTATTTGGATATTTTCCCAATCATTAACATGGTAAATTATTTGATTCAGACCAAAGAAGTTTCAGGAGAAGGAACAATCTTTTAAGAACCTTCAGTGTTTCCCATAATGAATTGAAGCTTCTGCACAACACCGAGAGCCTCTACTCACATTACCTATGATGGAGATGGAAATACTATATTTATCAATTACCGCGTAAAATGTAGCGCAATCTCCAAACGTAGATCATTAATCTGCAACAGCTCATATCCATCAAATGCTCCGTAGCTCAGTGCCCAGTAATGCTGTGTGCCCCTTCTAGCAAAATGAAGGTAATACGTCTTACCTGTAGGCAGTGCGTGGCTTCAGGGGGCCGTCACAAAATTTTTGTTGATTGGGATCGCATTTTCCACCCAGGCTCTCCATCTCTGCACCAAGCTTGATGTTAAAACTCTTAGAGTTGCTGTCAGGACTTTCAGCACATTTGCTGGCAAAGTAAGCGGTCTGATACGCTCGAATGGAAGCGTTGTGTCTGTAGTCCAGGTACGACGGCAGCGGGTGCTGTTGCTCTGGCTTTAGCTCATCACTGCCTGGAAGGAGAAAACTCACAGTGAAGGGCCAACTCAAGATTCATCTACTTCTCTTAGTCTGCCTTCTCATCCACTCTCTCCTGCCACCCCCAGAGTGTAGAATGTAAAGTCTCAAAGGATGCTCTGAGATCATACCAATGAAATCAATGTTAACTCAATTTGTCTAAAAGAAATAAAAGTTAAAAATAAAGTGTGTAGAGTTGCCTGATGGTTTTGATTTTTACTTTATTATAGTTGCTTTTTTTTTTTTCCTGATTTCTTGTTTGGTTCTTCTACATTCCTCCTATAAGTGACATCATTTGATATTTTTCTTTTTCTTTCTGTCTTACTTAACTATACATCAGAGACATTCTGTAGGGGAGGAGGAGAAGGACCAGGACAGGAGTGGGAAGAGCATAAGGGACGATGGAGATGGTGCACGGGGGGAATTGTGGTGGGAATTTCACGGGGAAACCGTACATTGTACACAAATGAAAATTGATGTAATAAATATATTTTAAGAAATATACAAAATTTGACACATGTGCATCCCAATCATTTCTCTAAGAAAGAAAGCCTGTAGGACTGGTAGCTCATCACATCTGGAGACGGCCTGTCCCACGACTTGGGAGAGCTGGACGCACCCCACCGGAGCATCAAACCACTCAGGGAGCTCTCTACCTTGCCAATAGCCACTGTAGCTGTGCTAATAAGGAAATCCCTATGACCTGAGAAATAGGGAAAAGATAAGAGAATCAAGTCCGAGGCCAGAGCAGTCACCCCACTAGGCACGTTCCACATGCTGTGCCCGGCCTGATAATGGCTGCAAGCACAGCTCTCTGCTATCTTGAGCACAGTTTAATCCTGGCTTGAATTTGGTCCATCCAGCAGAACACTTCCCAGAACTCCTCCCCTGTCCACCAAGCCTGCTGTGTGTTTTGGCACTGTAAACTGGTTTTGATGTTGGCTGGAGGAAAGCACAATTGGGAAGATAAATATTATAGAGATTTGATACCGCTGACAATAAACTTCGAGGAGTAGAACAATGGTGGTTCATGGTACCTTGGATTCTTGCTTAATAAGGTGTTCAAAATGGGTGGGTCTTGGCAAATTTATCTTGTGGGCAGCAGTTGAAAACAAATGTTGCCTTTAGGATAAGCATATATATATGTGAGTTGGATGGTTATCTTAGACCACGGGGGCATGATCCATCTTGGGAACATCAATCAAGGAAGCCCGCCCGGCTGGAGAATACGAACCTGCTTTCTAGTGTATAACTTCTTCTCAGTCTTTGCCTTATAGGAAACATCCTTTTCACTACTGTCTCCATAAATCCAAAGTCTCCACAGTTCACCAATCTCTTCCAATTATGAGGCTTAAGAAAATCTGGGCTGCACTACTAGCCCTTGAAATTACTTAATTAAATATGCATAACCAATTTTAGTGCAATTAAATAAAATATAAAAGCATGTAGAATGTTAAATAACCAGTGAGACTAAAATACAATTTAGCCAGGGAACTGCTCCAGCATTTGTCAGACTTAATGTTTCCCATTGCCCACAAATGGGTTAAATAGTCAGGGATTTTTATGAAACTCATGCGCAGCACATGAAATTGTGAGCAATCTCAAAAGCACATATATGAATACCATTCTATACACACACATCTAATTTGGAGAAATAATACCCCAGATCTCCATGGGAGCTAAACAGATGAATGGGAGCACCCATAAATACAACATTCCAGCAGTTAGTTTGATAAATGTTGCTATAATATGCTTTCAAGATTGTGTGTGGTGGGTGTGTGGATTGTTGTTATAACTATTTCCTAGGATGTTCTTGGTCCGTAGGAGTTAGGTAGACATCGAATAATTTAGTGGATTGGCAAATGGAATGTTTATTGAAAACACAGCAGAGAAAGAAGGAATGTTTTTCATGATCATTGTTTGACCTTTTAGGCTTTTGAATATTCTTGTGAGTTGGTGGGGCATCTGGAAGTGTGTGGTTGGCTTGATATATTTGAGATAGGGAAGCCAAGGAAGGTATATTGCTGGTTAATGGCAGAATAAAAGAAGAATGAGGCCCTCCCTGGTGGCGCAGCGGGTTAAAGCACAGCACTGAGAATCTGAAGCCACTTCCGTATGAGTTCGATTCCCGCCTGCCGCCTGCCCCGGAGGAGACCACATGGCGAGCCAGACCTCTCCTGACCCGCCCGCTGCTCCCCTCAGCAGTGTACTTCGTCGATCTGCCTGTTCTGCTCCCCACTCTGTCTCTGGTGAAGCCTCTCACCCTCCGCATCTCTGGCCTGTACCCCAGTTCTGTATGAATAAATAAATAAATCTTTAAAAAAAAAAAAAAAAAAAGAAGAATGAACAGCATTGAATGAGCAGTGAAGAAGACTGAATGTGTCATTATATGTCATGTACTCCTAACAGTGCCTGGCACATACTGAAGACTCAAGAAGTGATGCTTATTGTTATTATATATTTTTTAAAGATTTATTTATTTATGTATATAAGAACTGGGGTGTAGGTCAGAGGTGTGGGGGTGAGAGAATTCACCAGAGACAGAGTGGGGGGGTGCAGAACAGGCAGATCTACTGAAATACACTGCTAAGGGGAGCAGTGGGCAGGTCAGGAGAGGTCTGCCACGCCATGTGTGTCACCTCTTTGGCTGGGAATAAAACTTGCACTGCAGTGTCTGTGGACAGCTTCATCGTGCTGTGCTTTAACCCACTGTACCACCAGGGAGGGCCCTTATTGTTACTATATTAATAATACAATCTCCCACACGTTCAATAATTAAGCCGAGAGGATAACGGGCTTTATTGCTGAATGAGTCTTTGTGCAGTTTTTGTTATATCTCTCTGTACTGAGCAGAGAGAACTCAATACTATAGAAATCTAAGATTTCTATGCTTAAAAACTTGTCACAGCAAGAGGCAACATGGTAACCTTTGAGAAAGAGACCCTGTGTCTTACAGTAAAGGTAATACATGATCACTTACCATCAGCCTCTCTTACCACCACGGTAAAGTATTTCACAGCTCCATTGGTGTCGCTGAACCAAGTACAGTTGAAAGTAAAGTTGATGGAGGATTTGCTAATTAACACATCCTTTTTATTCACACGAATATGTGGAGGTGGAGGAGGTGGGCCTGGAAGAAGGGGTGGGGAGAGAACCAAAAGAGGTCACAACTCTGCTTTTATATATAGATACTCAGTGAAATGAAGGACTCCATTCACAATAGCTAAGGGTCGTTGTGTGCACGCATGTGCAAGTATGTGTGAATGTCAATGGGTGTGTGTGTTTAAAGCTCATAATCAAGAACCTGTCCGCCTCTTCTGAAGGGAAGAAGGGAAAGGAAGTGATTGGCCAGGAGCACATTGAACATAAGGAAAGAGACAGCTCCTCAGCAGGGTTTCCTGAAGGGTTTCCTCAGCAGGGTTGTAGCATCAAATTGCTTAAAAGCTCCATTATAACTCTATCAGGCTAAGTGGTGTACCTAAATTCTAACTCATTTAGGTACTTTAAGACTATTTAACTTGTTTGTTGTCAGGATACTGTATAGAGAAATGTTTCCATTTCCTGAAGCCTTTAGCACTTCTTCACCAAGTGACAAGTTATGCTCATGGCTGGGAACTGAGCAGGGGATTGCGTTGACAGACAAGACACAGCGCATGCTCAGCGCACACACGGGGCACTCACGGTCTATCATGGTGATGGTGCTGTCTTCCACCACCTCGCTGGTCATGCCCGCTGACTGCACCTTGATGGACACCAGATATCTCTTATGGGGCACAAGCATCATGATGTTGAGCAGAGATTTTTCTTTCTCCAGTTTTCTAGAAAACTCCACTTCTTGGGTGTCCATTTTCCGGCACTCAATGCTATACGCATCGAAGTCAGAATCAGGGGGGATCCAGGAGCAGGCAATAGCTGTGGAGTTCTGAGGCCGGCAATGCAGGTTTTGTATCTTGTCTGGCTCTAGAGGAGGAAAAGGGGGCAATTTTTAGAACTCCGAGACACTTTTATCATATATATATATATATTTTTTTTAGCTTTGTGGGGTCCAACTAGCTGGGAGATCCAAATAAATTTTAAGCATTAGTTGGAGTGTTTTTCAAGGCAAGAATTCTCATGTATCTACCAAGGGAACTTCTGCCCGAGAGATCGCAGAAACCTGGATGTTGAAATGCTCTCCCTACAGAAAATTACCAGGTGCCAACATGGCCATAAGTATGCCTGCTCGGGCACATTTATGAAAAGCCATAGAAGATGAGCAGAATGGCTGCTCACCCTGCCTAAGTTCAAATCCTATGTACCAGCTAGAATAAAAGTTGCCACGGCCCCGGTGGAGCAGCAGGTTAAAGCGCAGCACTGTGAAGCGCAGCCGCCTCCATGTGAGTTTGATTCCCACCCCAGGTGACCCACATGGCACAGCAGACCTCGCCTGTCTTGCCTGCTGCTCCCCTCAGCAGTGTACTTGGTCAATCTGCCTGTCTTGCTCCCCATTCTGACTGTGGTGAATCCTCTCACTGCCCCTGCACCTCTGGCTTGTACTGGGGTTCTGTATGCATAAACAAATAAATCTTAAAATAAAAATAATAATATATTTTTAAAAAGGCACATGTCTGTGCCTCATCTGTCATGTGGAAAAGTTAAATTATCTAGTTCACATGCTTTTGAGGATGGTTCAATGGTTTGAAACCTGTACAGCCTCCTAGAACAGTGACTGGCATAGTAAGTGCTCAATAAATGCTCGTTCTTCAAACAATAACTCAAGAAATTGCATGGCTGACTTGCCACTCTCTAGGCCTAGCTTCTTTGTCCATTTTTTGCTCTCCTGGCTCACATGTCCTGCTCTGAGCCGTGAAAGTGTTGCAGTTCTCTGCCTATACCACCATTCCAGCCCCCTCCGCTGTAGTCATTCAGTTTTCTCTGCCTGACTGACTCAGTGAATGGCAGCTGATCTCATTTGTTGTTGTGAATGACACCGTTGGGGGTGGGGGGGAAACACTTATAAGTAACTGTGCAGGTTAATTAGCAAAGTCTGTAAGCCTTCCCAACCAGCTACATGCCATCATCTCTAAATGGGTGCTATGAAGATAAATTGTACGACTTAGATGAGTAAGTTATGAATTTTAATTTTAGTAACTGAGCAATTTAAAAATGAAGTTCGCAAATACATAAGGACTATCTCCAATATGTAAGCTCTGCAAGGCTCTGGTTGTATGTGTTAAGTATGTGCTAGGGTCAGTGGTACTTTGCTGGGGTGGCCTCCTAAGATCTCCATTGTTTGATCCCTGGTCCCCCCTAAACTTTGGAGGAGTTTTCAGATTCTGAAATAGAACTTAAAAGCTTAGATCTGGGCCCCAACTCCCCCCTCCATTTTATTCCAGGAGTCAAAAACCTTGATAAAGGTTTTTATCCATGTGGAAAGCAAATTATGCATGTGAACATATGGAGGTGTTAAGTTGTATCCCCAAAGTGATGTAGCAAAGCAAATACAGTTTATACAAATTAATGAAATATGGGGGGGGGGGAAGGCACACCCATTATTCTCTTGACCATAGCTCAAAACAAGTAGTAAAATTCTTAGAAGGCAATATCAACTCATTGTATGATGTGGGGAGGGGAAAGACAGGTATACCTGATTTTCAGGAGACCAAACAGGAAGAACACATTCCTTTGCAATGCTGAATGGCCCCTGTCCCTGCCCCACCTACTCAAACTAAAATTGCATAACTTTCAGGGTCCAGGGCCAGCTGAAAATGTAGATGCTTCTTCGAATGTTATTAAGAAATGAAACTTCTCCAAACCAAGTCAAAACTGAGATCCAAAGACACCATCTCATTGAGGCTTGGAGAAAGTGTTCAAGCCATTCTGCCTGGTGTGTAATTCTGGCATTCACACAAAGAGTAGCATGGAACCTTTCTTCATGTCAGTGCCTCATTTCCTTCTCACTGCTCCTCTTCATCTCCAACTCCTACTTGCCTTCCAATTTTCTAGTCGCATTCCCACTTGCTGAGAAATGAGTACAACATGCTTTTCTAGAAGCCGTGAACAGTAGACAGGTGAATAAGACATGATCCCTAACCTCTAGATGGGAGATGAGGCCAAATAGCCATAACACTGGGTAGAAAGAAGACTATACCAGAAGAAATGATGAAAGATAAATGCTGGGCAGAGTCCCAGACAGCTTTCTGTTGGCATTAATTGTGGCAGTTACAAAGGTTTTCGGGCAGAGATAACACCTTCTCAAGAGATGAGAAAGGGGGAAGGGGAAACCATGAATCTAGGCCCCAAGGGTGGGGCTGCAAGGAGCAGGAAGAGGAGGAGGAAAGGAAAGAGGAGGAGGAAGACTGCACAGAGTTGATCACAGCTAGAATCTAATTGTCAGGAACATCGCCATTAAGGTTTCCACAAGAAGTATAAACATCCATCTTGTTTAATCCACGGATGTTCTGGGTTTTCTGCTACCCACAACCAAAGCCAACCCTAACGAACACAGCCCCCCAAGTCCCACCCAACATCCCTCATAGAAGTGAGTGACTTTACATGCTGCTTGCTTTCTTCTTGGGCCTGACCATTAAGTAAAGGCTTCTCTGAAATTCTAGTGCCCAGGATGGGTGCTAGATTGATACTCCCATGTGCTCTGACCAACCTAGCCTCTACTGGAATTTTATGAGCTCTTAACTGGAGTACCCGTGATTGGGTTATAGAGCTCACAGTTAGAAAGTCTGTTCTCAGCTGGCTATAAAATAAAACTCTCAGTTCTTTTTTACTTATTTCTCTTGACATACAACTACTTGATCCCAAACTGTTCTCTGGACACATATGGAACACAAGTTATACCTGTTACAGCATTAATTAAGTCAAACCAATAAATAGCTGATTTGATCTTAGAAGTTACATGGTCTGGGTATTATTGAAAAATAAATATTTGAATTGTCACTCCTATTCAGAAAACTTGTGTTTTGAGGTTGTTGTTTCTACCTAATATGTCTTCAGGAAGAAACTAATACTTTAACCTTTGGATTTACAGTGATATGTCTTCATTGAGCCTTCTGTTTCTAGTTTTTTCCCCCTTTGATCTAGTCTCTACACTATAGCTAGAAATTCTTTTCAAAAAAAAGTATGTTCATTTATTTATGCATAGAGTAACTGGGGTATAGACCAGACATGCTGGGGAAGGGGAATTCATTAGAGACAAAGTGGGGAGCAGAACAGGCAGATCTACTGAAATACAGTGTGGAGGGGAGTAGCAGGAGAGACAGGAGAGGTCTGCTGGGCCATGTGGGTCAGCTCCCTGACTGAGGATCGAACTCAGGCGGCAGTGGTGGTAGTGTGATAGCACTGAGACTTAACCCCTGCACCACCAGGGAGATTCTAGAGTGACTTTCTAAAGTGCAAATCTGATGATGACTTCTATGCAGAAAGCCCTTTAGTGGTTGCAAGTGGTTCAGGATAAACTCAAAGTTGTTATCAGTGTTGACTTGATATTTTATGATCTGATTCTTTGAAATCTCACCCTCTATAATCTGACTAATTGTTTATTGTTACTTTCTTACTGTTCTTAATTTCTCTTGATCTGAATATTTTATTCTCTCTACCTGGACTATTTTCTACTCCCTTCCCCATCTCTACCTCATGACTTACTATTTCTTTAAGTTTAGATTTGGAAGTTTTTTCTTCTAGGAAGTTCCTTAGTAAAGGGTCACCTGCCCCTACAATGTATTTCTATAGTATCAGATACTTCCTTCATGACACCCAATGTCTATTGTCTTCTTAGTGAGAGGACCATCCACTTAATGGTAAGCTCCTTGCGGGTAGAGATGAGCTCCTTTTATTTTGTCTATAGTTGTTAATATTGAATAAATGCAACCTGCATCTATTTAGATCCCTGCCTAAATTCAAATCTAGCCAATCCTAATTTAAAATGTGGATTTAAATCAAGCCCCAAATGGAATAAGATAACATATACTTCCATCTCCCTCCATCTGAGAACAAAGAGAAGCAAAACATGTCATACTTGTCCTCACGGATCCAAAAATTGGTTTGCTGTAGGTTTTCCAGGAATCACCGCTTACAGTCTTGACAGTGAATTCGTAATATCTTCCTGGACGAAGACCATAGACAATGCGTCCTTCTGATTTTCTGTTGCTATAGGGGTTGAAGACAGTGATGGCATCTCTGGGGTGCCACTGAAGCTCAAAGTCATCGTAGTCTGTCCAATCTGGAGGTCCCTTCCAGGTGATGGCCAAGGATGTATTTGCAATATCAGTAAATGCCATATGGCTGGGAGGACTTGGAGCTGCATGTAAAAGAAAGTGAACCATCACATCTGTGTCCTAATACACAAATCAGGTACTCAGTGGCACCGCACATATTTGTAATATACTTTGGAGGAAGATGAATACAATGCATATGGGAGCTTTCATTTATAGTGTTTACTGTGTGTAAGACATATAGTGTTTACTGTGTGTAAGACACGGCCTTAGAGTGTTTTCTGTACCTGTAATTTTCATAACCAGAGACTCCTCACCAGGGTGCTATGGAGCGTGAATGTATCCTGACTGTTACAAGTGTGTGAAGGTATTGATTCCATCAGATTTGGGGCTATGGAAGCTAGAGTTCACAGATAATTATGTCCAGTTGTAGATTAATCTTGCTCATTGACCTTATGGTGGCACACAGATATTGATTTTATCTGAATGTCCCCAAGAAATAAAGATATTTAGGAAGGATTGCCCCTTGCAACACAGATGACATCTATGATTATCCCTGTTTAATAGACAAGAAAACTGAGGCTTAAAGATGATCGATGAGCAATCAAGTTTACAAGCTATGTGTGGCATTTCTAAATTGAAAAGTAATGAGTATTAGAAAGTTAAATAAGTGAATAACCGTAAAGTGCTCATATAGTGGAAGACTCACTTCCTTTCAAAGATGTCAAATTCTACCAAATTTGATCCACAAATTAAATGAAAGCCCTATCAACTTTTATTTTCTAAATTTCTATAAGGAAGAAAATAAAGTTAATAAATATAAATAAATATGTATATGTTTGTCAGGGCATAGATATATTTTTCTGATTTCAAGCTTTTGAATCAGGACTCCTTTGTGCTCTTAAAAACTGAAAACTCAAAAAAGCTTTGGTTTAAATGCATTCTATCTACAAACACTGAAAATATTTATGTATAAACATACTTTAAAGCAATAAACATAGCATAAATTACACTTTATTAAAACATTTACCACATTAAACAAAACAAACAAACAAAAAGACGCTTGGTGAACTGCAGAGCTTCACAAGGGAAGTGGCAGAGTTAAGCTAAGTTAATCTAGATCTCTTCGAGCAAGGAGGTCAGCTGCCAGCGCCTGCCATGACATAACTGATTTTATTTTTTCCTAATAAAACTATAATTAAAATGTGTTTTTGGAAGCTACTTCTGGCCAACGCTGGCCATCAGCACGTGGGCTTCTTACCTGTTCTGCTCTCCCCTGTGACCTTGTTGCTGAGATCTCCACTGTGAGTTACCACCCACAGCGTGTACTTCCTTCCAGGAACCAAGCCTTGAAAACGTCGCTCCGTTAGGTCCTTGTCTTTCCAGTTTTCCTTCTTTGTGCCATTCGGGTTATAGAGAATCAGCTCATAAAAGTCGAAGTCCCCAGCGGCAGGAGTCCAGCTGAACCAGAGGCTGTCTGTCATGTTCCGATTGGATCCCTTAAGGTTACTCACAGAGGCTGGGACTAAAACAAAGAGAAAACCTTTATTGAAAACAGCAGTTAAAAACAAGGGCATGTTGACCCCTGTGTGAAAATATGCGCTCACTTGGAGACATGTTTGAGTAGTACGTATTGCAGTCAGATCTGGCCTGTATAGTAGATCATTTAAGTTTGGGGATACAGTACAAATTAAAATAAAATAAGTGGAAATTTCTATATGCTTGCTACATGCACTCTGATAAGCTTATACAACAAAATCTTCAGAAATAATGAAAACATAGTAAGTAGTGTCTAACGAAGCATATAAAGGCCCCGAAAGTATTCACAGAAGGTCCCAGCTCTTCCAGCCCACCATCTCACTGGTGGCCACCCTCCGGGAACATTCCTCTCTGGGCTACTTGGTCTTCATCTCCTGAAGGTTCTCACTGCTCTCATGTTTTCTTACCCAAATCTGCAGAGGTAGGGCCTGCACTTGGGAGAAGTGTTAATAATCACTTCTACCACAGTGCTGGCTCCCTACATGCCCTCCAGGAGTCTTTAAGCTTCATCCTTCTTTGAAGAGTGAAGACTGTGGTCTCTTGTTGGAGGAACACCTAATGAGCAGATGACATATCCAGCAGTAGATTGCCTTGGATGTGGTCATCTGGGCAATTCTAGTCTCAGTCTAGGCTCTTCTGCTACTCTTTTACATTTTTATCCAAAGGGACATCTGTGGGATGTCCAGAATGTGTTCTTCCCATGAACCACCTCACCTTCACATTTTATTTGAAATGTTTTCTTTGTCTAATGTAGTTTCTTGTCCTACCTAGTCACTTTCTGCCTCAGCACCATTTATTTCCTTCATAGACTATAAGGTGCTCCAAAATCATCTCCCCTTAAAATCTTCCATCCTGGCCCTCTCCCCATGTCCCCTAACATAGACAGTGACATGGTCAAAGCCCTGGTCTGTCATTTTATCCATCTCACTCTCATCAAGCACATAGTGCCTGCACACAGGAACACCCAAAGACATTTGCCAGATGAAGAAATGGATTAGGAAAATGAGATAATGGACTAAACTTATGGGAAAAGAGTAGACTGCGTTTGTGTTTTGAAACTCAGAGAGATGTCTGGAACTCCTCGTGTCATCTCATCGTAAAGTGTTTCCAATGTACTGAGTCTTCCTTGTTGGTCCTATCTGTAGAAGCCTTCTCTGGACCTGCCTCCACTCCACCTAGTTCTTGTAGAAAGCTTGAAGGTACAGCTAGAATTGAGCCAAGATGGGTTACTGGCAAGTAGAAGTGCCAGATTCATTTTCCGCCAGACCCTATGAGATAAAACAAGTGGCAGCAAAGGCGTGGAAGCCAATCCAAAGACTGGCCACAAGCTATTCTGATATAGAAGCAAATATCTGACTTATCAGATAGCCTGAAGGTCACACATTTTATAAAAATCCAGACCTTGGATAGAATAGAAAACTAAGGATAAATGAAAGAAAAGCAATGAAAGCCGTGACTAGCTATTCACTGCTGCTTGGGTCTGAGCTTACCTGTCCTACCAAAAATGAAAGATTCATTAGACAGCTCCCCGCTGTGAGTTACAATCACCATTTTGTACATTCGGCCTTGTAGTAAGTTCTGGAAAGAGAAGCTTTGGATCTGTGGATCAACTTGAGCTCTCTCCTGCAGGGTTCGGTCTGGATTGTACAGAAAGATGTTGTACCAGTTGAGCTCTCCCTCTGAGGTGGTCCAGGTGAAGGACAGGTATCTGGTAGAGTTCTCTGTGATCCTCAGGTTGGTGACAGCTGCTGGGACTGGGAAAATCAAGGAGCAAAACAGTGAGACGGAGATGGGCCCCTGGCTGGATACACTTAGACAGCAGCTCCAAAGCAGGGTTCGTGTCTTAACGAGATGTTCGCTTTAAGGGAACCCCAAGGCAAAGAAGTCTGGATTTTGTGAATTACTGCTGCTGAAATTGTTAATTAAAAAAACAATAATAGGCGCTCCCTGGTGGCACAACGGGTAAGGATGCAGCACTGCAATCTAGTCTCAGCCACGTCAGTGCAAGTTCGATCCCCACCCCGGAGGTGACCCACATGGCATGGCAGACCTTTCCTGACTCGTCCGCTGCTCCCCTCAGCAGTGTACTTCGTCCATCGACCTGTTCTGCTCCCCACTCTGTCCCTGATGAAGCCTCTCACCGCCCCGCACCTCTGGCCTGTACCTCAGTTCTGTATGCATAAATAAATATATCTTTAAAAAAAAAACCGAAATAATAATAACCCTAAAAATAACAACCACCAGCAAAATAAACAACCAAGCAAACAAATAAATAAAAACCCATAGGAAAGGAAAATTATCTTCGAAGACATTTTTAGACGTATAGAAGAAATGTTAATCAGACCCGTGTGACTAAATACTAAGAGTTACAACAGAGATTTAAAATAATAATAATAATAATAATAATAATAAAAAGACATCTCTGAGTGGCATCAGGGAGCTAAGAAGTGAGCACTGCAGGAAGGGCAGCAGGGAGGACACTGGGTGAGAAAGAAGGGGGAGCAGACGGAAACAGGAAACCAGATGGTCAGATTCAAGGATACAGGAAAGAGAAGCAAAGCCATTAAAAAGAACAGTTTTCGTCAGGATTTTGCAATTCCTAAAGCTTTCAGTGCTACCTGTTGGCAAGGTGATCAAATGCAGCCCCAAATTCCCTGCCTCCAAACTGCTTGGAGAGATGCTACCTGATTGCACAGAAGTTTTAGGATACCAATGAACAGGTCATCTGTCTCAGGCCTGGGATCTCGCTCCACTCTGAACACTTTCTTTAGCCCTTTTAAGACCTTTTGCTTCTCCCTCTTCTTGTGCCAGGTCCTCAGACATTCCTCCTTGTCCTTTCATACTCTATAGCAGTAGGTAAGCCATCACTCATTCACTTTAGCATCTGTGTCTCCCTTCCTCCCAATTCAGAAGTTAAAACCTAACCCCCAAAGTTATGTGTTAGGAGGGAGGGGGGCTATTGGGAAGGTAGTAAATCACGAGGGTGGGGCCCCCATGAATATGATTAGTGCTCTTACCAAAAAAAAAAAGGCCCAGAGAGCACTTTCATTCTTCCACCGTGAGAGGACAAAGGAGAAAAGGGAGAAAGGCTTGGCTAGGAACCAACAAAGTGCACTCACCAGGCACTGTATCTGCCAGGCCTTGATCTTGGACTTCTCAGCCTCCAGAACGCAAAGTAATAAATGTTTATTGTTTAAGCCACCCAGTTTATGATGTTTTTGTTATAGTAGCCTGTCCAAATCCTTATCTCCAGTTCACTTTTCTGAGCATTTCAAATGCCTCTGACCAGGTGCATCAGTAAGTCATTCAGACATCTTGAAGCTGCATGCTTCTCCCTGACACATCCTCCTCCGGCTTCTTATTGCAGTTAGTGCATCATTTTCAACCATCTACCCCAGGTAGAAAATCTGGAATTTTCTCTTTCTCCTTCTAAATCTTCCACTCAGCCACCAAACACCATAATATCAAATGTAGAACTATTTCTTGACTATACTTAACTATTCTCCACCAGGGCCATTGCCTTACCTTTGCTTGTCACCTTTATCATTTCTGTAACTGCAATAACTCATGACCCTGATGAGCTCTCTGACCACCTCCCCCGACTCGTTCTCACTGACTCTACTCCAGGTACTTTTACTGTTCCTCCCACAGGTGGACACATTACCCCTTCATGGTCTTTGCCTTGTTGTTCATGCTGCTTGGGGAACTTTTTGCCCAAAAGCAGTGGTATGCAATTCCAACACCCCCAAACAACTGCCTGAAACCGAACCCCATATATACTGCTTTTTCCTGTACATACCTACCTATGACAGTTTGACTTATACGGTAGACAAATTAAGAGACTGACAGCAGTAACTAATAAAAAAAGAGAACAATAATAATAATAATGTGCTGTAATAAAAATGATGTGAATGTGATCCCTCTCCCAAAGTATCTGATACATACTATTTCCAGACCATGGTTTTCTGAAACAGAGGAAGCCAAACCAGGGAAAATGGAGCATTATTGTACCTTTGTCACCTTTTTCTCACTTCAGATTTTTACTCAAACCTTATTTTATCAACAATAGCAGGCTGTATAATTTAAAATAGTAACGCGTGCCAACGCGTGCCAGCCCATTTCCCGGCTCTAATTTTCTCTCTGGTATATATTACCATCTAACCTAGTCTAATCTTTACTCACTTAGCTTATTGCCTTCTGTCCTACTAGAATAAGCTTCATGACTGAGATTTTGCTTAATCCACTTAATCTACTTCCAACATTTAGATCACAGCTTAGCACACAGCAGTCATTCACGAACAGATGAATTAGAGAATGGGTTGCTCTACTTCCGGTCTCTTCTCTATTCAACCCTCTCCCCATTACCATTTATCTTTTTTAAGGTGTACATTTTTAAATAGAACATTCTCTCTAGTTGGAAAGTTTTTATTGCCTCTTCATGACTTACAAGATAAAATGTAAACCCTTGAGAAAGACACGCCAGATAGTCTCTCATCTGGCCCCAATTCACTCTCAGCCTCACCTCTCCATCTTGAACCACACTTCACCCACGCACGGCCTCTCACTGTTCCTTCTCACACCTCCCGATCTTGGCACAGGGCACTCTGACTGCATAGGGGGTGTGCTTCCACCTTCTCTCCACATGGAGGATTGCTTCATCTTTCATGGCTCAACCAAAATGTCACTTTCCAAATCACTGACTTCCATGCTCCCTGGAGGTTGAGTATTCCTCCCTTTTCTGTAATCCTTTCACAGTGTATCATTATTTGTCCAGATGTCTGTCTTCTCCACTCTTCAGTCAGCTCTTCCAGGACAAAAGGCATACCTAATTCACCCTTTATCTCTAACAATCCCCCTTTAAGACCTTTAATAAATGAGTGGGCAATTAAACCAGTGTGATTATCTAAATAATGCTTTTCAAGTTGTCATGACCTGAAGACCAGAATCTGTGAAATTATTACCATGTGCGAAAAAAGGAACTTTGTAGTTATGACTTAGCTAAGGATCTTGAGATTAGAAGTTTATTTTGATTATCCAGGTGGTTACCAATGTAACTTCAAGGGCTCATAAAAGGAGAAAGAAGAGGCAGAAAAGCAGAGATGGCAGTGAGGTGCAGAGGATGGTTGTTACTGGCAGGGGCAGCTACAAGCCAAAGAATGTGAATAGCTTCTAGTAACTGTAAAGAGTAAGAAATAGATTCTTCCCATAAAACCTAGTGAGAAAACACAGCATGATATATTGATATATTGATTTCACCTGATATATTGATTTTAGCCTCATAAGATCCACCTTCAGATTGTTATGTCCAGAGCTTTAAAAAAACATATCTGTGTTGCTGTAATCTGCTCCATTTGCACCAGTTTATGACAGTGGCAATAGGAATTAGAGCCAGTTGTGATGAGAAACCTGAATTGGAGTGAAGTGACTGATAGGCTGTGTAATTAGGCTGGTTGACATGGATTCGTCATGCAGATGATGAATGTTTTTTTTTTCTATTATGTCAAGAAATATATACAGTATCCCTCCCATGTTACTTCATGCTGCCGTCTCTACAGCTGGGGATGAGAGAATTCACCAGAGACAGACTGGGGAGCAGAATAGGCAGACTGACTGAAGAACACTGCTGATAGGAGCAGCGGGAGAGACAGGAGAGGTCTGCTGTGCCATGTGGGTCACTTCCCTGGCCAGGGATTGAACTCATGCTGCAGTTCCTGGCATTAGCTTGATAGCACTGAGACTTTAACCCTAATCCACCAGGGAAGCCCCTCTATCCTTACAGTTCCTAGGGGAGAGCAGACAAGATATCAGTTCAAAGGGGTAAGCTGTGGGAATTACCTGTGCGACCTTCAGTTTGGGCTTCCTTGCTGAAAAGGCCTCCACTGACGGTTAGAATCCGTATCTTGTATTTTTTTCCTGGTGTTAGGTCTTCAAATTTGTGCTGCTTAGCTGTGGCTACCTCTGATGTGTTACTCAGAAGGATTCCATTTTCACTTAGAAGTAAGATATCATATCTTTCTGCCACACCAACAGCTTTTTGCCAACTCACTATTAAGGAGTGACTGCTATAGGCATTATCTGCAATTATTCCCTGGACAGATGCTGGCACTGCAAAGAAAGAAGAGAGGCAAGGAAATTCAGGTGCCATCACTCTGGGCAAGGTAACCAATAGAGGAAAACTCCTCTTAACTCAACTGCAGACAGAAAACAAAGCCCACAGGTAATTTTGTTGCATTGATACTTTCTGCAGATCCTTGTATAGTACAGTGTTTCTTGGCTTGAGTTATTTACATAGCTGCCTTGATTCTTCATTTTTCTTCTCCATTTAGACAGATAGATAGAAAAGTCAAACAAACAGAAAACTGTTAGCTAAAGAGCACTTGAAGTCAAACGGAAAAATTATTGCAAATGACACCGATAAGTACGCAGTGATGCACATCGGTGTACCGGAAGGTCGGAAAATGAAGACAAATTTACATTTCAGTGAATATAGTTTGCGTGATTCAATTATGTCACTTGCTTAGACCTTCATACACAAGGTTAGTAAGTCAAAGCTTCAAGCCTTAGTCTAATAGTTCGGGTATTGTGGCTCTTCATGTGCAAGACAAATACTATTGTTTGTTAACTTTCTCTGTTCCAGGCTCACCTTTTTCTCATTTATTGTCTCCATTTATTCTCACAGTACATAATCTAAGATCTTATCCACTATCGTGGTTTGAGTTGTTTCCCATATGGGGATGCTTTCCAAATTTAAACT